ACTTCCTCACCCAGACGCCGATAAAGTTGCTGCACACGAACATGTACCTCTTGTTAATGTGAACAAATGCTGTTCGAGACAACAAATCATAGGTTCAGATATTTGCACGTACCACTATCAAGCCTATTGCCACTTTGCCTGCACTATCCTTTTCTTGGTGTAGCTGCCTCTAACGGACCTCCGTTGCTCGTAGGCGTGAAGTAGGGGCAGAGGAGACTAAGGAGGACCCAAGTGGTGTCTAGGGGAGCCGTGGCGTCCTGTCTATGTCCGGGGCGGCGACTTGCTGTCGGCGTGGGGTGCAGGAGCCGTCAAGGAGCCGTGGCGGCGTGGATTCATGGAGGGGCGGTGCGGCGTGGGGGAGGGCATGGAGAGGCGGTGTGCGGGCAGACGGGGTGGCGTAGAGGGGCGGTGTCCAGGTGGATGGGGCGGCGTGTGGGGAGGCGCGGAGGGGCGGCGTGCGGGAGTGCAGGAGTGTCGTGCGGGAGAAGGAGACGCGGCCTCGCATGATTGCGGTGCTGGGGAGGGACCGTGCGGGTGCTGCCAGGGATATGGTTTGCCTTCTTTTTTTTCCTTCCTGAATGTGCCTCTTAGGCTTAGTACAACGGGAAGGGATGTTTCTGGCGGGCCGAAAGCCCACCTTTCCGTCTTTGGAGCCATAGAATGAAAGTTCTGGCGGGCTTTTTTCCCAATCATCAATTGCTTTCACGCCTCCTAGATAATTTCCCTGTGTGTAATTTTAATAACCGTCAGGGAAAATACAAAAACCGTCAGGATAATATTTATTTTTTTGGGAGTTATTGAAAACCCATTAGGGTAATTAATTATCCTGTCGGTTTCTTAAACTCATAGGTTAATAAGATTATTCCCTGACGGTTACATATTTTCCCTGTGTGTGTTTTGGGTACCGTAAAAATACATTTACCATGACAGTTTACACAAGAACCGTAAAAAAAATTAAAACCGTCAGGGAATTTCGGCTTTCCAGTAGTGATAGGTATAATAAAAGTATTGTCACACAACTCTTCTGTATCACAAGCACTATTAGAACAATTATTTTGCGACAAAGGAATTTCAGACTTTGTGTCCACTAAATGTTGCTCTATTATAGCATGAGTAGTGGACAAATTTAGCACATCATCACCAATTTTAGCAATATCAGATTTTGTAGCAAGCATAAAAGAATCTTTTAATTTTGGTACTTGTGATTTTCATTTATATATATATATATATGTTTGCGCTGGAATCACAAATTCATTTTCAATTTTGGTAGAAAATTTCAAACAATTAGCGGGAAACATTGCAGAGGAGGATGATATTTACAGCCGCCTCTACAAATCTAATTTGTAGAGGCGGCTCGTAAATAGATTTGTAGAGGCAGTTGCAGTTGCCACCCGCCTCTACAAATAGCATTTCTAAAGGCAGCTAGGCATCCACCTCACTAGAGGCAGCTAGGTGAAAGGTCCCTAGTTTAGTTTTGTTAATTGAGTGACCTAGGTGGACTAATATGTGTTTGTGTGAGATACACAGGTGATTTGTCCACAAGAACACTTTTGTGAGCAATACATGCCATGCAGGTGAAAATGGCTTGGATTGGTTGCAAGGCTCACACATGTGATGAAGGAGCTCATTGTATATGAGACATGACATGGAGTCATATGACTAGGTGGAGAAGATCAAGATGAGGCTTGGCTTGATGGACCGGTTGCAAGCGTGAAGGGCAAGTCAGAGGCTTTAAAGCGATAAACCACGTGGTAGGGAAGCTTGAGCATGAACTTGGCGCCGATGGATGAAGGCAATGGTGAAGAGCAAGTGATGTCAAGATCGATGAACCAATAAGGTCACGTGATGATATAAAATGGATCATATCATTTGTTGATCTAGGTTGGTGCATGTGTTGCATCAACATCAGAGGAGATAGAATGGAATACGCAAGGCAAAGGTATAACCTATGGGGCATTTCATTTTACCGGTCATAGGTGTGTAGAGAAGTTTATGACTATGTTTAGGATAGATGGCCGTACTATCAAGAGGGGGAAACTTGTTTGCATATCGGTCATCTAATGCCACTTGAGTGATCTAACATTGCATGCGTTGTTAGGATCGAGTGGCATGGTGAAAAGAGAGAAAAATGCTTTGATAAAATGCTTGTAAAAAGATAACACATATGCATAAGATGGTGAACACTTGGTGGTGTTAGCACATTTACAAAGGTGTTGAAAAAGGAGAAGAAAAGAGCAAGTTTGGGTTATCCGTGGGTCGAAAATTAAAACACAACTAAACTTGCAACCAACGCGTAGCCCAGCCTGAGAGGTGGCACCACCATGTCTGGTGTGCACCGCCACCCCAGACAAGGTGCACCGTCACCCCCTATACGGTGCCCAAATCAGCAGTGACACACTTTCGTATTTTGGGCATAACTTTTAGCTCCGAACTTCGATCTCGATGATCTTAGACTTTTTGGAAAGCTAATAAAATTCTCTACAGCTTTGAAGTGGTGGAAATCGAGTTGGAGCAGCCCAGGGTCACTAGACTGTCCGGTGACCAAGGCGGTGGCACTGCCCTTTTTATCCAGAGAGAGAGGAAATTGTGTTGGGGGCACCGCCACCTCTAGGGTGGTGGACCGCCCCCTATGTCTGGTGCCAAGTTTCCCAATGGCTAGTTCAAACTAGCCTTTGCAATTCGACCATTGGGGCACCGCCACTCTATGTCCGGTGTGGCACCGCCCTGTCCGGTGCCCGCGTAGAAAAGTGCTCCAAGTGGTATAACGACTCTATTTGGTTTGTGGGCTATAAATAGAGGTGGAGCTCGGGCTTGGTTGAGGTTGAGCACCTTGGGGATGTGTTGCTCTTGTGTGCGCTTGACTTGAGAGCCCTCTAACTCACTTATGCTTGCAAGAAGTGCGAATCCATTACGAGTAAGTGATTCTAGTGCATTGCATTATTGAGAGAGTGCATCGAGTAGCACTAGGTGTTCGAATTGCAAGCTGGTGGTGCTTCTTACTCTTGGAGGTTGTCACCTCTTAGATGGCTTGGTGGCAAGGTCTCCGTCGAAGCACGCAAGAAGATTGTGCGGTGCTCCGGAGAAGTGATTGTGAGGGGTATTATGCTCACCCCGCGGGAGCCACGAAGAGCAACTTTAGTAGAGCGTGTCATTGAGTGCGCTCATCTTATGGAGGTTCTTACAGTGCCCGAGTGACGGGTTAGGCATGGTGCCTATAAGCACATGAACTCCCAAGTGAACCAGCTGAGACAACGGGGACTATCTTGTTGGCAAACAAGTGAACCTCAGGATAAAAATCATCGTGTCAACTTTGTTCATCCCGTTGGTTTGCAATCCCCTTACACAAGCTTGTATTTTCTTTTTCATTCATATATTGTGCTTGTGTAGTTGCTCTTGTAATTAGTTAGCTTGTGTAGCTTGCTAGTTACCTTCCTTGCTTGTGTAGTATAGAAGTAGCTCCCTTATGTAGCTAGTTTACTTTTGTAGTAAATTAGTTGCTCTCCTGCATAACTAGTTGGTTTGTATAGCCTTGCTAGTTACATTGCTTAGTTTGTGTAGCTAAGTAATTTGAGCTCTATAATTTGGCTTGAGTAGCCTTGTTATTGAGCATTGCTAGTAAGCTTAGGCTTTGTGCTTTTGCATACTAGTTTGTGTAGAAACTCCCCCATTGCTTGAAGTACTAGTTGCATAGGTTTGTGTGACCTTGCTTCTAGAATTGATTAGATGAGCTCTAGCTAGCCCGACACATTTGCTGCCTAATTAGAATATTTTGTAAGGTGTTTGAGAACATAGATAGAGAGATATAGTCTTGGCTAGACCAATAGTTTTAATCTGTATTTATCTCGATTAGCTGGTGTGATTATTTTTTAGAAAGGACTATTCACCCCTCTAGTCTGCCATCTCGACCCTACACTGGGCTACGTACCCGCCTTTATAGAGATATAACAACTGCCTCTAGAAATCAAATCTATAGCAGTGTTCCCCAAATCAGAATAGTGGACTCCATCGGCGGTGAGAGGCGTTGCCATGGCTTTCCTGCGGTTGGGCGCGCCAGCAGTAGCTTGCAGCCTGGTTGGAGGTGGCCTATGCCGCCCCGGCCACATGCGCGGCGGCCATGGGAGCTGCGCCGGGAGCACATCCTCCGGCGGTGGTTGAGGGCCGAGAAGTGATGCTGGGGTGCGGTACGATATGGACATGATGAGAGACATGCTTTGCCAATATATCTGCGGGATTATCCCGCTGATAGGTTGACAATGCATGGAGCTAAGTTTGAGTATGCTCAGACTTAGTTGGTATTACAATTTAAGTCATAGTGACTTTTGGCATCGGTGATTATTTATTGTTAAAGTGAGTTGATTGATGATACTTCATTTGCTACAAGATGGAATTCGTCTCAAGTGGAGTTTGTTGGAATATGATCTAAATTCTAACGTGAGTCTTGCGGGGACGCCTGAAGGACCCACGACTCGGGTTATGTTAATTAACGGATTTGTTTTCGTATTGGACTGTAGTCCGTTCATCCTATAAATACATTTTGTAAGTCGTAAGATCACACATTGTATTCCCTATGTTTTATAAACTATCCTCATATAGGCCGTGATTTTTCGTGGCAAGAGCTTTCGAGTAAAAATCTGTATCTTGTTTTCGATCTTTATTTGCATTATTTACTAACAAACATCAATCTAAGAGTTTTACAAATACAAATACAAATATCGTTGCTTTTATAATGTACAAGAGGGGCTGACACATGTCCTGTACACTCACTCTTTCAATACCTATTAACTGTGAGCACCTTTATTAGCACGGCTTAGCCGCAAACTAATCTATCTAGCGATTTAACTGGCTAAATTAAGATCGAAGAACAAACTTGAACCTATATATATATACCATGCCTACACCTACATGGTTGTTGTACGAAGAAGTTACGGTCATGATGATCAAAACTCGAATCAAGGATCGATCCCCACACAAAATTGATCCTCGGATGCATCCACATGGATCTAGGTATCACGTCGATCGTGATGAGAAGGGAAGATGGCGTCCATGCTGCTCCCTCCGCTGCTGCCAGAGTTGAACATGGCATCGGCGAGGTCCATAATAGGGTATTCGGCGGTGTCCCTTCCTGAGGCGGGCACGTTCACGTTCACCTGAGCGCTGCTTCCCTCGGCGGCACTGGAGCCAACGAGGGTTGATGGCATCCAGCTGATGCCGAGCTGGATGGCTGTCGACAGCGCCGGTGCAGGATGCTCAGCCGCCGCCATGAAGGGGTCCTGACCGGCGGCGAGGACTGTCGTTGCTGAACCAGTCGGGGAGTTGGTTAGCATGTTGGCGGCAGTTGAGGCCGCAGTAGCGGGGCCTGCTGGGAGGGTAAGGAGCGGCGTCGTGGAGGTGAGGCAGGTGTGGTTGCCGCAGTAGGTGACCTCGTACGTGAACGGGTCGTCGTCTAGGCGCTGCACCTTCTTCTTCGCCTCGCACCCGTAGTAGTTCTTGTGAGTGCACCTGTAGTAGCTCCTGCCGATATATATATTGCAACATGTAAAACTGCAAATCAAATGACAGCAATAATATGCTACACTACATGCAAGTATATATTAATTACATATACACATACCATGCATGCGAAATTATTCTCAACGAGTTGAGATGCATATGGATATTACTTAAATGAATATGGATACGCATGGTGTTTTGACTACGCGAAATTGTCGCTGTTGCAAACTAGCCATTCACACTACTTCGTGTTATGATTTCTTCTGTCTAATCAATTTCTTGCGCGCACACATTGACACAGGATACGCACGAGCCAGGTGAAATCCAAGACAGCAAAATCAGACAATATATATAACTGGACTTTTGAACCAGCTTATATTCACTGATGTTGGCCTTTGCCGTGAGAAAGCAGGAAAAGTGAAGCAATATAATCAAGGCAAAATGAAGTCAAATGTGAATGACACACAACCATGCGAGCATATAGCTAGGAAAGGGTGTGGAAGCATGCTTAGTGACTTGAATCTCGTGACCAGTGTCCCAGCCAATTAAATCTTTTGTTACTTGTAATATCATATAAGTGAGATTTACTATACTATATAGAAGAGATTCGCAATAATATTGATTTAACAATATGAATCTCTGTTCACCTCAACTAATTATATGGTAATTCAAAGATTTTTCAAAGTTTAGAAGAATTCAACCATGCCAAATAACAAAGTAAATTTCTGCATGAATTCAAAACAAAATTGAATTACCTTGGAAATCTGGATCCCAGTATATCCTTCTGGCCATACTTGCGCCACGTGTAGCCATCGTCCGGTGGCTGATCTGTGTTGCCCGTCCGCTGTACCGGAACCATTATTGTCATCCTCTCGCCTCTCTCTCTCCTGAAATTAATAATAATCACCGAGGCGGAACAAAAATGATATTAATCAGTACAGTTATTCCCCTATCTCTTTCGCAGGCAAGTTAGAGTAATATAAGACCTGATGACGCTACCATCAACAACTCCTAATCCAGTATATATATAGCTAACAAAGCAGTATCCATTAATCCCCAAGTAAACGCTCGTGTAGCTTGTGTATAACGCCCCGTGACTCGGCACGCAGTACGTATTCGAGGGCGTCGCAATCGGAGAACAAATACCAGGTGCGTGCGTGGAAAATTCCGTGCCATGACGTGGTAAAGGGTCTCCGCCAGGCCGGGTTTGAACTCTTGACCGCCAAAAAACATAACGAACTGCAGGCCCGCCAGAACCCTAACGTACGCCAAGCCAAGCCGGGGAACGAAGGAACGGTAACGCACGCACGTACCTCCTCCTGTGCTGCTGCCGCGGCTGGACCGGCGGTGACGACCGCGACGACGAACCCTGCCGTCTCACCGGGCTGCCTGACGATGTGCCGGCGCCGAACGCGTCAACCACGGGCGCGGTGTTGATGAACGATGACTCTGTCAGCAGGCGCCCGAGGTTGTGCGGGAACGACGACGGCGCCGAAGGAGAAGGAGCACCGCCGAGGAACGGGCGGAGGAGGTCCAGCTGAGGGATGACGTGGTCGTGCTGACCGGTTCCACTACCATCGCCGCCGAAGTGAGGAGGAGGATGATGAGGAGGCCGAAGCGGCGGTGGGGACGATGACGCGTCTTCCGTGCCGCCGTGCGGGTGAAGCATGCGGATGGCCGCGACGTAGGCTTGGACAATGCCGTGGCAGCGGTCGGCGAGGTAGGTCGGCTCATTCTGGGCCGCGGGGAGCTCCTCCATCAGCTCCCTGGCGAGGCGGAACCCCTCGTCGATCTGCCGCAGCACGTCGTCCATGGTCGGCGGTCGTCTCAGCTCCTTTGTGCTGTAGCGGTGGTCGAGAACGCCAGCAAGCAGCGCGAGCGGAGGAGCTGCTGCTGGGTAGGCTGCAAGGACGTGCATCAACGATATGATGGACCGCGTTGTTGTCTGTGATTGTGTACCTATAGGCTTGGTATGTATCTATCTATGAATCTATCTGTGTCGTCGGAGCCTCTCGGAGGTTAACTTATGTATACTAGCTCCAATGCAAGGATTTGTGTTTCATGCTGCCATGGCCGGGGCGAAGTATATAGCAGGAAACAACGTGGTACGTACACGGCCAGCAGGGGGAACGACTCACTATATGCGGTAAGAAAGCAGAACGGGTCATTGGTCAGGGCGATTACTAGTAGGAGTAGTAGTAGTAAATAAATAATAAATAAGCTTATTAATTGTACAGCGTGATATGCTGCGTTGATCTGGTCACTTTCTCACTGCTCTCCATCTTGATCTTGCATTGGTTGGGTCATGGGGAAGACCGCGGACGTTGAAAAGGGCGTTCAATGTGGAAGGATCTTAATTCCGCCGTCCGTGATCCTCCCTTCTTTGGCCAACGACTTGGTGCAACTTTTCCTTGAAAGAGTCCGAGTCTTCGCCAAAGAGCAGAACCACACGTATTTATTTGGTACCCAGCCTTTCGGCCTTTATTACCTTTCCAGCGATAGTTCCAGGGACGGTAATAATCGGCCCATGGCCGGCATCACAAGAATATGTGCTAATTATCCATTCAGAAAAGATATATTCTGTGAGTATATAGTGTCATAAGTAATTTAGTGCCAATAATCAAAGAATGCGGTTCGTACCCACTCAAAATGTTCTAGGACATACCGCCACCCCCTCCGCCCCACCAAAAAACAGTTTTTTTTTCTGGAGTAAAACTCATGTGAGTTTTTTTTTAGAGAAAGAACCTTATGACTTGTTTGGATGTTGTCGGATTCGTATCAATCTATGTGTTGAGGTGGGTTGAAATAGAACTTAAATTAAATTCCACCCTAACACATACGGATTGAGGTGAATCCGACAACATCCAAACAAGGCCTTACGTGATGCATGACAAGTAGACATATATAACATAGTGTTGACAAAATTCCTTTCTCGCTCTATCCATTAAATTATGCGATGTAAGTTCCTTCGATATTTCATGTTAGGAGTCACAATATTGCATGTTGTCTATAGAAGCCAAATATTGTTTTAGAATTCACTACGCCAGATTTGGACATCACTGCCGGCCTCATCACTGCCGGATTTGTGACAACCGGCAGTGATGTACCTTGACTGCCGGTTATGAGTTTGAAAATGAAAAAAATGATTAGGACTGGGCTAAAACCAGCAGTGAAGGACCACATCACTGCTGGTTTGTGGCTTGAACCGGCAGTGTTTTGGCGGCCACTCATCACTGTCGGTTTAAGCCAAGACCCGACAGTGATTGGGCTTTATCACTGTCGGTTCTAGCCAAGAACCGATGGTGATAAGCCTACAACACAAAATGGCTGCAGCCGTCCTCTCCTTCCTCTTCTCTTCCATCCTGAGAACAGAGGCACGCGTTTGGGCCCTTCCCTCCATTGATGCGGCTGCTCTTCACCATGAAGCTAGCGCTTAGATTTTGAAGAATGGCTTGATCTTTTTACTTTAAGGTCAGTAACAAGCATCCACTCCTTTGATTTTGTTGCTTAATTAGCTTTGTTTTGATGGCTACATTGCTTGATTCTCATTCTAGTTCTTTCTCCATTCTAGAGAGCACTTTTTCAATTGGACATTTGTGCAAGGCTCAAATTGTGGTGAATCCATCATCCAAAAGGTTGGTGTATATGAACACATTTAAATTCCTAGCTAATTATTCCATGGTGGTCAAGATCATCATTGTTAGTATGTGATGCTATAATTAGTTCTTAGAAGTAGAGTAGAATATATGTTCTTCATTATTGTACAATAATTGTTTTTTATTACGATTTTCAATTTACAGGGCTGGGGCTACCAATTTCAACTTTCCAAGAATTAATGTACAATAATGTTTTCTAAAAATGGTACTTTCGAGCTACAATTGTTGTTCATGAAGCTCGATTTCTTATTAATTCTTTGTAATTACTGTCTCAATATTTTTTTTTGTGCAGAGATGGATCGAGAGTGGATGCATCTGTCCTGAACGGACAAGCGGTACATGCATGGCGTCAGCCAGTTTATCACCGATGCCAAAGCCCATGCTGGGAATGGGAACACTGTCTTCTGCCCATGCAAAGATTGCAAGAATCAAAGGAACTTTTATCAAATTGAGTCTATACGATCGCACTTCATTACCAGGGGGTTCATATCAAACTATATGGTATGGACTATGCATGGTGAGGTTGATGTGAATGTTCTGCAGGAAAACGATGATGATGTGGACATGCCTGACGTAGCCATCCACGATGCTGATGAGGGACCCGGTGTCAATACGGAATCTATGGCCATAGTTAATAATGTGTTTAGAAACATGCTAGCTGACGACATCGAGGATAATGATGGCATTTCTCAGCTGCTACGTAATGTAGAGACCGGATGTCTTAGTGAAAGACAACTGAGAAAGCTAGAGAAAATGAGACAAGATGGCAAAACACCATTGTATAGGAATTGTCCAATGAGCAAATTGGAAGCCGGCATCATGCTGTTAGAGTTCAAATCGACAAACGAATTGAGCGATAAAGGCTTCAATCAGTTGTTAGGTATAATAAGGAAAATGCTCTCAGAAAAAAAAATGAGTTGCCAAAAAAGACACACTTGGCCAAGCAAATGATCTGCTCCATCGGTCTTGAGGTTGAAAAAATCCACACGTGTTCCAATGATTGCATATTGTACCATGGAGAAAAATACAAAGACTTGGACAAGTGCCCCAAGTGTGAAGCTCCACGGTACAAGAAAGGGTCGTCAGATGAGGGTACCAAGACCAGAGGAGGTCCCGTAAAGGTCGTTTGGTATTTTTCTATAGCTCCCCGGGTGCATAGGCTGTTTGCATGTGCAAATTCAGCCAAGTTGTTGCACTGGCATGACGAAGAGCGTAAGAAAGATACAATGATGAGACACCCCGCCAATTGGCATGACTAGAGGACTATCAATACTATGTTCTATAAGGACATTGGTGGAGAGGTAAGGCACCTTTGGTTTGCTTTGAGCACAGATGGGATGAATCCTTTCGACCAGATTAGAAGCAATCATAGCACCTGGCTAGTGACGCTCTGTATATACAACCTTCCACCTTGGGTCTGTATGAAGCGGTCGTATATCCAGATGCCACTACTGATCCAAGGGCCAAGGCAACCTGGGAATGACATCGATGTGTTTCTAGAACCAGTGATTGATGAACTAGTGGAGATGTTTGAAAAGGGTGTGCCGGATGTTTGGGACGAGTACAAAAAGGAACATGTCACGATCAAGGGAGTACTTATCGCTACAATCATCGACCTGCCAGGTCGAGGTTCGTTGTCCAGAGAGAAGACAAAAGGCTATACTGGATGTGTCGAGTGCTTGGACAACACCGATGCGGTAAATCTACCAAATAACTCAAAGATAGTTTATATGGGACACCGTAGGTTCCTACATAAGGATCACCCTTACCGTAGGAACAGAAAAGATTTCAACGATACTATTGAGAAACATTTAGCTCCAAAATATCAAGATGGACCAGCGATACTTCGAGAATTCAACAAACTGGAGGTTGTCCTTGGGAAGGGGGACAATGCAGTAGCAGCATATGATGGGAGCATTTGGAAGAAAAATCAGTTTTCTAGAAACTACCTTACTGGCCATTTCTAAGTGTATGCCACTGTCTTGATCCCATGCACATCACTAAAAACATGTGCGCTAACACTCTTAACACCTTGATGGACACCGGGGGGACATCGAAGGATTCACTAGCCACACACTTGAACATGCAACACTTGGGAATCAGGAAGGAGCTACATCCTATGGAGCTAGAGAATGGTCAGTTCGAACTTCTGGTTGCGTCATGGACATTGAAGGAAGAAAAGCATGCACTTATTTCTTTCTTCAATGAACTCAAAGTCCCGATGGGCTACTGTGTGAACCCGAAGAGGCTAGTGAACATGAGAGAACTCAAGTTCAACTATGGCCCTATGAAGGCCCATGACTGTCATGTCATTATGACTCAGCTGCTCCCTGTTGCCCTATGTGATATCCTCCCCCAAAGGTTCGCGCCCCGATCATAAAGTTTTGTTCGTTCTTCAACGCGATCTCAAAAAGGTCATTGATGTGTCCATGCTAGAGCAGCTGTAGCGGGACATAGCTGAAACTCTCGTTAGGCTTGAGATGCATTTCCCGCCGACTTACTTTGATATCTCATTGCATCTGCTCATTCATCTTGTTGACCAAATTAGAGCTCTTGTCCCAATGTACCTGCATCAGATGTTCCTTTCGAAAGATTGAAGAAAGTTTTCAGGAGGTATGTTAGGAACAGATTCAGGTTAGAAGGGGGCATGGTTGAAGGATGGTCAACAGAGGAGGCCATTGAGTTCTACACATATTATCTGGACATCAAAAGGGTCGGAGTTCCAGAATCTCATCACGAGGGAAGACTGTATGGCAAAGGAACGATCGGGGAGAAATCAATTACAGTAGATGACCCTGTTTCTTTTAGACAGGCATAGTTCGCTGTTCTCTAGCAAGCCGAGGGTGTGATGCCATACATTGATGAGCATAGACAATTGCTGCAAACTCTGTATCCGAGCAGGTCATAGGCTTGGCTGTATAAAAAACATAAGGATGAATTTATCAACTGGTTGCGACGTCGCTTGCTTAGAATAAAGTTGGGTAATCAACTGAATGCCTTAGCTAAAGGACCTTCGAGTACATATCTTAAGTACCAAGGGTATGAGATTAATGGATTCACATTTTACATAAAAAAGCAAGATGGAAAGAGCACATACCAAAATTGTGGTGTTCGTTTTGATGCTCACGATGAAAATGGCAACGTGTAGGCGACATACTATGGTTTCATAGAGGAGATATGGGAGCTAGCCTACGGTCCGTTGAAGGCAGCTCTTTTTCGCTGCCAGTGGGTCTAGCTCGAGGAAATCAACACTGACAACGAA